TCTTGATTTGTTCATTTTTTTTCTTTTCCCCTTTTTCTTTTTTTTTCCCATTTTTGTTTTTCCCTGTTTCTCAGTCTTTCATCTCTCCACTCCAATAGCGGGCTCCCTTAGCACTCTTTTTTGTTTGTGTGTATGTTTTTGGCTCCTGTTCCTCTCTCCTCTCTCATCTTTCCCATACCCATCTTAGCTCCACACATCACAATCTACCCCCTCCTTCCTGCCTACCTGCACCATGCACTGAACATCACGCTCCCAAGCAGCACAGGCACGGCCTACAGGAACCTGCCCTGCACTGATTCCTGGTCTGCACTGTCAGCCCTGGTACGTGCCACAAACAACCCATCCCAGCAACTCCCCTTCAGCTCGACCTGACCTACTGTACCATATCTGAGTGACTGACCCTGGAGAAAGAGGTGAAAAGTATCGTGCCCACAGACGAGCAAATAACAAAGAATGCACAGCCCGCCTGCTCAGACATAACCAAATAAAACAAAAAAGCAGGATGAAGCAAACAAATCTACAATCAGTAAACGAGGAAAATAATCACTGAATGTCCCAAAGACAGCAGACAATATCAAAACATTTACAGAAACAGGACAGAATGGTTCCAGTAGGCGTCCAAAATAAAACACCAGATGACCTTCCAGTAGAAGAAAAGGCACTAAACCTAACTGATAGGGAACTCAAATCTCTAATATTCAGAATTATCCAAGAGTTAAAGCAAAAAGCAGGCAAAAATGAGGGAAAAATAGACAAATTCATGGAAAATACAGACAAAAAAATGGACGAATTCAAGAAATAATACAGGAACAAAATGGTAAAATAGATTCACAACTAGAAAGCATACAAAAACAAATATTAGAAATCCAAAAGATAAACAAGAAGATTTCAGAAATGGACAGTGTCATAGAAGGGCTGAGGAGCAGGTTTGAAACGATGGTAAGATAGGATCAGTGAAATTGGAGACAAGCACTTGGATACAACTCTGTTTGAGGAAAAATCAGAAAAAAGAACGAAGAAAAATCAAGAAACCCTGAGAATTATGTGGGATACAATCAAAAGCAAAAATCTACGAGTGGTCAGAGTTCCAGAACAGGGCGAAAACAGAAGAGAGGATCATTGAAGAATTGCTAATGGAAAACTTCCCCAATATTATGAAAGATGAAAAGCTGACCATCCAAGAAGCTCAACAAACCTCACATAGGATAGACCCCAAAAGAAAATCACCAAGGCATATCATAATCACACTCGCTAAAACCAAAGACAAACAAAGAATCCTGAGAGCAGCTCGAGAAAAACAAAAAGTCACATACAGAAGAGAAACAATAAGACTAAGCTCGGATTATTCAGCAGAAACCATGCAGGCGAGAAGGCAGTGGAATGACATATATGAAACCTTGAAAGAAAAAAATTGCCAGCCAAGAGTAATACAGCCTGCAAAACTCTCGTTCAAATATCATGGTGAAATTAGGTCATTTCTAGATAAACAGAAATTAAGAGACTATGTAAAAACCAAACCAAACTTACAAGACTTATTAAAGGGAGTCCTTTGATCTGAGAACAAACAACATCAGACCACAGGCTGAATCTAGGACACAGGATTGTGCTAGCCAGATACCAACCTAGG